TGCGAAGAAATAAAAGGACGCGTAGAAGATTTTTACCATTCTGTATATTCATTTACAGCTGGTTTTTACAGAGTACGTCACGTTGATTCATCTTATCATCAATGAATCACGCATACTAAGCATATCATAAAGCAACTTATTTCGTTATGTACCATAAAAAATAATTACACGTGTAAATATTTTTATATACTTATACTTACAGTTAATGAGATCTTTTTTTTGCTGTTTCTTTCACAATTATCGAAAATTTTTTAGATTCAGAGAATATAAAATTTGGCAGATATCAGAACGCAACTTGTCTTGCAGTTAAAAAATGATCTACATCAATTATGATAGACAGTTTTTAAGCAAGTACTCTGTGATGTAGTAACTCATTGGATTTTTCCACTGATAACTATTCATGTATGTTGAAATTTTCTAACTTCGGTTTTTCCTTTTTCTATATGTATTTTCCCATTTCACATTGGAAAATTCCCACTCCACTGTATATGTACAGTAAAACCTCTATATGTGAACACCCCTCCTTAATGAACACCTCGCTATTACGAACGCTTCTAGCCGGTCCCAAAAATCGATTTTTGCTGGAAATAGACCTCTCCTTTATGAACACCTTCTTATTATGAACGCTTTTTACTGGTCCCGAAGGTGTTCAGATTAGAGAGGTTTTACTGTATGTGTATGTGATCGCGCTTGTGATAGTGGTGGTTGCTCTTCTTCAGTTTCTATTTCTTCATATAACTGAGTTACTGGCTCTGTTATATTTCATTCATTTCTCACGTATGAATAAATAAGAGAAGTTCGCCTTAACTTCTAAATTTCTTATATAAATGCAATACGTGACATACTCAAAATTTCAAAGAGATGACTGAAAAAAGTGATACAATCTATCACCCCTTCAATCTCTTCTTCATAATGTTGTTCGAAGAGACATACATTCGCATCATTACAAAAATATATCAAAATTTGTCGTCTGAGAAACATTTACAATTATGATATAATTCGATTGTATATATAACGAGAAGAAAGAAAGTTTTTAGTTCTTTATTAAAAGAATACATATGTATATATGATGTACTTGTTCAAGAAGAATTTCAGACAAACAGAATGGGTATGGGTGTAACTTTGACGAAAGAGAAGATTCAAACCAGAGCTCTTAACAGGATGAAAAATTTTCTCTGTGTACTGTTCTGTTCATCTTCCGTTTTACCCTTCTCTGTCCTTTTATAAAAAACGCGACCAGGTGACAACGTTCTTTGAAAATATTGTACGGATAATTGAATGTATTATTGTTTTTCTTTATTTGTTTCCTTTCAAAAATACTGTAACATATAAGCGAAGGAAAATATTTTCTTTTTTCACTAACCAATAATAGTTTTACATAAATAAAAACATATAAACAAGCAAAACCAAAAATAAATTACAAGTGAATAGAACGCAAACCACATGAAAAAATTTCACAACATATTAATTTCAAATCTATTTTTTCTGCTTACTAAAAAAAGATTAAAGTGCACGATTTCGATTCAATTAATAGTGCAAAAATAAATTGGATGGTATCACTTGGAGATGCAACAAATTTCAAAGAAGATATGTTCGAAAACAACAATGAAAATGTAGATATAGTAGCCTAATGTACGCATAGAAAAGTATTATATCATCTCATCAAACGAAGATGAATTGTTCAATCAGCTCACATAAAAGTACTTTATCGAATTCATGATCCAATCGAATTATTGCACTAGAATTTCGTCTCTACAAACAATAGCTAGCAGTGACAACTTTTAGGCTTGCTGTTTCGAATGAAAGTGGACAATTTTTAGCACAATTCGAACAGGACAACTAATCGAAACATGTGCTCTGTCACGTCCTGCAAAAAACTTCTTCGACTGCTCTGTTCTGTCCTGTTGAAAACTCAGAAGCGGTCCTGTTCTATCCTGTAAAAAACGATTAGAAGTTGTTCTGTGGACCTGTCCTGCCCTGTAATATCGCGTAGGATACCCTGTCCTCTTAGGAGCCCTGATTCAAACCCGCAGTCAATTGATTTAACATGGAAAATTAAGAGACATTGTTTTGGTTTGATAACATAGAATTCATTAAATTATTCAGAAAAGTCTTGATTCTTTTACTCTTACACAATATCAAACTTTAATTATATAAACATGTTAAGATATTTTAATTATGTATAACATAATATTCTAGAAAAAATATCTTTCCAATCAATTTATGAATGATAATAATATACACTTGGATATTTAAATTGAACAAAATCAGAATATTATTATTGCAAATAAAAACATTTTATCAATGATAAAAATTAATAAATCAAGAAGATTATCGAATACTATTATTATTACTTTTTATACAAATTCATAATTCATGTTGATTGAATTATATCACAAACTTCTTCGATGATGATCACAAATCAAAGTCAATTACCCATTGAAATAAAGGAGCAGTATTATATTGAAAAGGTTAAATTCTATTATATAATAATAAAAATTGTTAGCACCATTCTTGCAAGATAAGACTGCAAAACACGATTTAGATCTGCATATATATTGTAAATCAGGGAAGTCTGTGAAAACTCTGTAAATGAATGTTCAGCAACACATACGTTATATTCAATTCTTTTTCATAATAATCCAACAGTGGTTCACGGTATCATGGATGTAAGTCTTGTGTATACTCAATATACTATGATGCAGCTCATCATATATCAGAAAATATAGTATAGCTTCTAGAAGTATTATCAAAGAAATGCAATTTTGGTTGGCATTTAAGTGATAGATTTAAGCATTTTTTAAAACATTGAGAATCTTTATATTCGTTCGATCTCAAAACAACTGTCGATTACTCAAATGAAACAACAAGAAAACCGCACTTTGCTGTATTAACAAGGTAATAGAATTTATTTTTATACGTCCAAATCAAAATGTCATACGAAAAGTATAACTATTTTGGTCTCAATTACTCACCCGATGAAGACGTAATTTATTAAGAACTAAATTGTTCGATGGATCGACGTCACATGTTTCATGTTATTTCTTTTTCTCAAAGTTCTTGTATTAGAAAATAATTTTTTCCTAAATATTATTGAAATCATTTATAATTATCTAAATTAAAGAACAGTAGCAATTATGAAATGAAAATATTTAGTTAATAATAATTGAACGCATGCCTTCTTAACAATATCTCATTAATAATTTTCAACAGTTGGTTACATCCAAACATCCGATGAGTTATTGAAGAGTTTTAAATTAGATAGTTATGGATGTTGAATTAAATATGTTTTATAAATAATACTTTTATTACAGGATATGACCTACTGTCTAATTATCTCGTCAAATATTTGTGATATATTTAAAATATGCAACTTGAATGTGGGTGCGAGTCTTCTAATCATATCCACACTCACATCTACACGCATTATGTTTGAATCAGCTAAAGTTAGTTATTTATTTGACTCAAAATAATTTTTGATAATAATAAAATCTTTTGATTGATAATCATTTTTCTGAATCTGACACAAATGAGCATACATGAAGGGCATTCATAAGTGAAGCCCGATCTAGATTTGGTTTTTATACTCACCTCATCTTCAATCTGGCTTTGACAATTCCTGCTCTCCTCTAGATGATTGTTGTTAGTTTTCTTCCAGAAAATACCTTAGTTTCTATTAGATTTCATCAAATTCTAATAAATTCAATCACATTTTGACTCCTCTTTTGGATAGTTAGACTTCAGCCAACAGTAGATTCATATATAAATTTAACAGTATAGGACTTCTCTATGGAATACGTTCAAAATGTTATTAAAATCAAAATTTCTCGAAAATCCAAGAAGAAACAAATTACGAGCGTCCATAGATTCATAAAAGTTAAACTTATCATTCCTTTTTTTCTTTTGTCAGATGTTCCCTGTTGCTTAATTTGACTGGTCTGTTACTTCGAGACAGATCTCTTCTCGTTTTGTATCTCCTATGTCGTTGCATTGTAGAACATATGCTATTGCTTTTCACACCTTGGTCCCAAAAAAAGAACTTGAAAGTTGTTTCAAGATTGTCATTCGTAACATCGTTATAAAAATTTACAATGTATTTTCGAGTGTCTTCTCTCTCTTAATTAGTCATTGTATCTAAGAGTGAAGTCAAACTTGTCCAGTCCGTGCTTTTAGTTGAGAAAGATAAGATCTTTCAAATAAAAAAAAATTAACACTTCTAGCCTTTAGAATGGCGGAGGTTGTGGGATGTCTGGTGTGGGCGTGGATGTGAATGTGTTTGTATCTTATTCTATTTCGATCACTAAAACCCACACCCACACCCACAACAGCAGTGAAAACTCAGCCGCCAAAATAACGACCTGAATAATCTGAAAAACAAAAGCAAGAAAAAAGAGAAACACAACATTATTTTTAGTTACAATTGATAATAAAAAAAAAAGAAAAATGAAGAAATAATATATTATTGCGTCATTGAAGCTTTTTTGCTTTAGATAGTCTACCTCTTTTTCCTTTTATATTAATCTCCACATTTTTTGCCTCTGATGGAGGTTTGCAATATTTAAACCTGATGGACATACCAATGATGTGTTTGCAAATACACTTCTTAAGGAATGATGGGCAAATGCAAGTTGCTTTTTTCCATTCTTCAGCATTGTTAAGCAAACATATGCACCATATGTTGAAGTAGACGGACGTGTATGCGTAAATGTGGGTATTAGTCATCTCTTGTGGCATACGCACAAACTCCTTTTGTTTTTCTTAATCTCTTCACTATTATTATAAGACTTCAGTTCCATATCATTGTATTACTCATTCATTATAATTATTGCTCATTTATTATAATTATTTCTCATTCAGTATAATTAATGCTAAATTTCATTATTGCTCATTTAAATTATTTTATTACTCAATTAAAAATATAAGTCTTACAGAAAACGAAATAGTTGTGCAGAAAACAGAGATATAGACGATAGTTTTAATAAAGATGTGTTTTGATTTTGTCAGCTAAATTCAATTTGACAAATACAATGATTTTTATTTGTAATTTTAAGAATTTTTGCCACTAAATCAGATGCATTTACTGGAGTTGAACTATTTTTGTTTATACCAAATTCTATTTTTATTTGTTTTAAAGTCGGATGGGTCTCGACAAAAGCAAGTAATGCAGGTAAACTTTTTTCACTGATTTGTTTACTTGTGAATTCTAATTGAAACAATGAATTTGGTAATGAAGAGAGAATTGCTTGAAAACCAATGTCACCAATTTCACATTTATCTGCTGTAAAACTTTGTAGAACTTGACTGTTCTTTAAATAATTAGCCAACATGATGCAATCTTCATCACTAAGCAAACCATAGAGAATTTTGACATGTCTGATTTTGTTGTTGTTTTCAAGAAGTTTTCCCAATTCGTTGATAACTTCGACATCCATTCCCATGATTTCTAATTCGTTGATAGAATTGTTTTCTTTCAACATTCGCAATATTGCAATTTCGATTGATGTATCCGGAAGATAATTGGTAATCTTCAAACTCGTCAATCGACATTGTTTACCAAAGAGAGTTTCAAGATAATTCAAATAATTTCGATTAAATTCGCCACGAAGGTCCAGATACAGTTGGCGATAAGTCGTATCATCTTTGGTTAATGCCGTAGCCACCAAGGACCAATCAGTGTCATTCAATTTGTTCGATTCTAAGAAAAGATGGTATCTCTTGCACAACAATTTTCCTACCAGACTGCGATCCGATACGATTTTAACTGTCGATAACGATGAGGATTCTTGTTGTTGGAAATATTGAGTTGCAAGATTGTCATCGAGAATCAGTTCTTTGAGATTTTCTCCATTCGATTGAAGATAAGAACGTATAGTAGGAATGTTTTCTCCTGTAATTTTGTTTCCAGTCAAATTAAGATGAACGAGAGTCTTTGGCAAAGATCGTGCAAGAACTTCGAAGCCGTTATCATCAATTTCTTCAATTTTGAGCCATTCGAGAGCAGTTGTTTGTAGAGAACGAGCCAACTCGACAACACATTCAGAGTTAAGTGGAGAAGTCCAGCTTTCTCTGAAATATATAGAATAAAATATTATAGAAGAATACTCTGGTCTATGAAAGATTGATCTACCCCTTTTCAAATTGAGAATGAGCGTAGACGCTCATGTTGAGAGAAAGCAATGTTTGATTATTCGTCAACATTTGCGAGAACACACGTGTTGTTTCCAAATCAAAATGTACTGACATTATCGATAAATATTTGATGGAGCGATTATCTTTGAGTGATTTCAATGAAACAATCAGGTTTTCATCCATTGAAGAATCGCGACTATAATACGTGAACTCGACTAATGTTTTACAAAATCCAAGAGCTTCCGTCAATTTAATAAAGCCAGGTTTGATTGGTTTTTTGTTGCCATAAATACCACTATCCCATTCTAATCTTAACTTTCGCAACGGATGCTCTTTATTATTTACTTCTTCGAGTACAATCGGCCAATCGGCATCCTCCATTTCGTTAACTTTCAATTGCATTTCAGTACCATCTTCTATGTATTGCTTATCGAGATGCCCTTTTCGAACCAGCTAAAGAGAAAATGAAATTTCACATCTAATCATTCTTTGAAGAAAGCCTCGATAGTTGGTACGAGAAATTCACCAAACGCTTCTAAATCTTTGCGATAAAGTGACAGGATTTGGTTCATCCATACAAAGTTCGTACCCTCAATGCTTAAACGAATTGCCATCGTGGCATGTTTCGTATCGACATATTTTCCTTTTACATTTCGAAAGAAGAAGAATTCAACGCTTGAGATTTTTGAAGAAGCCAATTTTAGTCTTAGACATGTTTCAGAAATGAAATGTGCACTTCACATATAAATGGAAGCAGACGCGAAAAACCATACCTCGCTGTAATGCAGCCATCTTTCATGATCATCATTCATATCACCTATAACAGATTCATGATTCTCTGCTTCAGACAGTTCAAAATGTTACTCACTAGCCTTGTCTTGATCAACAAGTGAAACAGACATTTTTTCTTCTTATGTCCAAAAAAACAACGAGCACACGATGTGACGACGAGAACGGACAGGAAAAAGTGACTATAGACGTTGTAAGGCAATACCTTTTCAAGCTAACCTTGCAAAGAAATAAATACAAATTCATCGAACTGTGACAAGCAATATACGATGATGATTGTGTATATGTAAAAGTATTTCTGTGTGCGTTTAATGCACAAGAAGGATGAGAGTACAACATTTTGGACATTCTTGGCTCCTATTCAATCACAAAAATAGGGTGAATTTTCGGAATACAGCTTGAAATATCTATTAAGCTTCTCTTTTGGACAAATATCAGATGATTTTTCTCGTTTTTATTTAAATTATTCTTGTCTACATGTGAGTGTCGTCCTTGCTCTGTCGACTCGTGTTCGCTCCTCGAATACTCGATAAAAAAGAACAGAACGCAAAAGAGTGATAGACAACAACAAATACAAATATTAAACGATGCTGTACATGTAATGCAGCATACCTGTAACAAATCTCTACACTGGTGGAAACGTGTGTCCACACACATGTGAAAAAGCAAAGAAATGACTGATTGAAAAGTGTACGAAGAACAATGATGAAAAATAAAACATGCCATTCATGAGTTAATGAAAATGATTAACTGATTAAAGTTTAACAACGATTTATGGTAGTAAATACAGGATGTTTGTGTGCTAAGCTAGATGTGGTAGAGCGTTGGTATTAGCGTAAAAAGGTATGGACATGATGAAGTAGAAAAATGGAGACGACAATCAGTGCCAAAGAAATGACTCCAAGAGAGAGAGAGATCATGAACTCAGTTCTGGGGATGAAATGTGGCTTTCTATCTGTTACGATCGTCGACATGTGTAATAGCAGGATCTCTAAAGAGACGTAGATGTGAACATATCTATTCATCTAAATATGATACGTTGATCTGAATCATTAAGCACGGAAAGATTTTTGTTGGAATGTGATTTACGTAAAAGTGCAAATAATAGATAATTAGAAAATGGAAATGTGGCAATGTTTAGAATTACAATAGCATTCATCTGCCGAGTTTTTCTGATAATCATCAAACTAAACAGTGCCGATGAATACATTATTCACACTCAACATTGTTTTCCCCTTTTCTCTCTAGTCACAAGACAATTATTGGATGTGTAGAGTGAATGCGAGCTTCCATAACGCGTTTCACTAAGGTTCAAGCAGATCATCAAGTGATATGACTTCTAGTTTGATTCTCATATAAGAAAATCAAATCGAAATCAAGCGAACTCTATTGCCGAAGCAATGGCAGGCGTAGGAGTAGCAAAAACTATGTTTGGAAGTATAATGTCAGATATAATCGTTGTTCGATTTTTCTGCCGTCAAGAAAATTTATAAGCGAATTTTTGTGGCGAAACATGTTAAGATATAAGATATCTCATGCTACTTCCAAACGCAGATAAAACGCATCTAAATACGTTTTAACAGATACTCGCGTTTAGATGCATTTCATTCTCGAGTATATTTTCAATGCATCCAAACATGTTCAATCAAACGCACGTGTCAAAAATGCGTTTCAAGATTATACAAATGACTTCCTGAGGGTGTGGGTGTAGGTGAATACAGAAAGTATTAATACCTACACCCACACCCCGGCAAGCGGGAGGTTATTTACGCTTTCACCATCCCTGATAATATGGTCTGCGTACAACCTATATATAAAATTCATCAGGAGATGCAAGATGAAGAAAGTCTCCTTCGGTTCAATCTCTCAACCAATTGCACAGGTATGATCGATCTGATATATGGATTTCTGACTTTAACGGCAGTTTCGGACTAACATGAAACGGCTTTAATCTTTGTCTAAAATGATAATTATTGATTACTCTTTGAACATCGTACTCTTTTTGCTTCTCCGCAATGTCCTTGGTCACAAACGAGCAATATTTTCTTTAGTAACCACTCGCTTGTAGAATGGTATCTTGACTATGGTTTTTGATAATTTTGACTTCGAACCAGCATTTGAATAATCAAAAAAACATTGTTGATATGATTTTTCACACCATTCGATAACGAATCGAGTCATGAAGTAAACTTTTGCCACAATCCATTGTCTATTAATAAATGTTGCACCAGCATCACAAACTTCATGAAAAGCGATACATGTAACTCTCTTAATAATTTTATATTCACGCTCTATACATTGGTTAAATTTTTCTGTTCTAGAACTCTCTAACAAAGTGAGAAACAAAATAGTGAACTTTTCCTAGGGAAATATCCTTTATTGTTTGGAATTTTTTCTACATATTCAACTTCATTTTGCTGCCATTCTCTTGATCGTTCTTCTCTCTGTATTTCTCATTATTTTGACTGTTCTTCTTTTTCTTTCCTCTATTTATCATCTTTGAAGAAAGGCAATAAAAATCTCGATTTCTCTCTTTCTTCATCAATACCATAACATATGACCAAGGCTACTATCGTGAGAAACAGACAATAGAAGATAAAAGGAAAATGCTCGTCCTTACTGTTTTTACTTATAAAAATGGCTGAAGTATAGTCCGACAAATGATAACAATGAGTTGTCGTACGTGTCGCATTTTTGATTGTCATAGAAGTTAAAACGAAGCATTTCATAAGTTGAATTATATAGCTTTCCATCGGTTATAATAAACAAAACTAAGAAAAAATGGTACTTTTTAATGACGTTGATAAAGATAGAAAGTAGATATGAAACGAAAAATTCAAAAAGTGATTGGAGTTCGGATAGAAGATATGGTACTTGATAGTCTATTGAACTCTGTTAAGTATGTCTTTTTACCAGTTTGATCTAGACTGCTTCTAGTGCAATACTTGATCCTTCATGGATATTGAATTTGCTTTCGAGATGATCACCAGGCAGAATAGTGTACTCACGAAGCAATCTCATTAACAGAATCTTCATCTGGATCAATGCAAAACGCACGCCGATACAAATTCGTGGACCAGCTCCGAATGGTATATATGCCATTGGATGGTGTTTTATTTTATGACGCTAGGGCACAAAAGTGTATGGATCATCAGGATCCGAAAGTTCATGGTCATAATGAACCGAATAGACATCAGCTTGCACTATAGAACCTGTAAAGATTAAAGAAGGGTGTGCGTGTGGGTGTGCTTGTGACTGAAGAAACACGCACATCGACACCCACACCCACACTCTCAAGTAGTTTAAGTCATACTTATCATTCCAATAATGGTTATATTTTCGAGATCTTCTTGTGTAAGACGAGGAAAATGTATAGCTGTTGATTCATCTTCTATTTTCTACTAGTTTTTCATCATGAGAAGGTTTCTAGTAGCCAAGTGTTTCTCAAGCATATTTATTTTGTCTTTTTGTTACAGCACAGTTTTTGCAATATTATCATCTTGACTAAAATTTTGCATATAATGAGATCAAAATGTATTTATTAATGAACACGTATCCAAGTGAACTCCCATGTCAATCCGTACGCTATTAGTACATGCACCTATGCTTTGTGCACTTCGTACGCGTTACGGTATACATATGTTCATGTGCAACGCGTGTCCGTTTGTATGCCACGCGTTCCACTACCGACTCCTCATTATAGAAACTAGTACTATAACAACGGCTCAATAGACAAAAGCTATTGTTAAAAATATTACTTAGTCGTTTTTAGTATGTAAATTCTACGTTTTAGCATAATTTTTATACAAATAAAAACATTTTGTTTTATTAGTTTTTTAAGATTTTCTTTCTTAAAATATTTTAGGACTTGCGTAATACAAATTAGTACAATTCAACGATAAAGTAATGGAACTATAATAGAAAATTATAAATTTTAAAATTTTTTTTAGTATTAAAATATTTTTCTGAAATTTTCATATAAAAATACTTGACTTTTTAATATTTGCAATTAATTTCTTTTATATTAATATATAAAAATTTTAATAAAATTAAATGTAAACATTTTAAAAACTAAATTTTAATTGATAAAAATTAAATATACATATTTAGAAAAGTATTGAACAAAAAATTTATTTATGTTTAGTTTTAAATTTTTATATGATAATATTTAATTTTTCTATATGAATATATGAAAATTTTAAAAAGTATTAAATATACCTATAAAAAATATTTAAAAAAAGTTAAATAGTATCATATAAAAATTCAAAATCGAACAATTACAAATTTTTTTAAGTATTTACATTTATGTTTTTTAATTTTATAAGTTAATATTTTGTTTTTAAAATTTTTACATTTGATTTTATTAACATTTTTATATATTAATATAAAAAAATTTAATGCAAATTTTAAGAAAATAAAATATTATATGTTAAACAAGATTTCAAAAATTTATGGCGTATGGTTGAACTGAAGATCGACACCTACACCCTCTCTATTCGACTTTTTCGAACCTCTTTATTTTTGAAGAAATTTTTCATCATGAGATGCTCATCACTGAACTATCAAGAACTTTTTCGGTAGAAATAAGAGAATTTAATTATGACATTGTCTCATTATTCACAAATATGAATAAAACAAGTATAAACAAAATTCAATACCGAGAACTAAATAAGAAAATAATTGAATATTGATTTGAAAAATGATTGATATATTTACAATAGCATTGAGACTTTCTACAAAAACATCTGAACACATTCTGAAAAATAATTCGTTGAATTAAATTTCAAATAAAAAAAAA